AAAGTGGGTATTTTGGGCAGTGTCTTGTATCAATGCTCAGCACTGCTCTCTGAGTAGACCTGATATTGTTATTTCCTTGCTTAATAACTGGGCGGTTGTTTTAGGGACCTTTCTTTCCCTTCCCACAGCACGAAGCCTCTGATAGGCTCAGAAGGAACAGCTCTCACATGTCCACAGTCGCCAGACGACAGTGGCTTTGCTGTGGCTCTCTGCCTTTCTCGTACTCCACCGATTATTAAACTGTGCTTTCCTGGCAGCTAGCTGCTCTATTTTTTTTTTTTTCAGTATTGTTTCTGGAGGACTTCAATATTATTTAAGTAATCCAATCAAGTTCTGGTTTGTTTAAAAGAACGCATTTCTGGGTCAGGATTTGGTGTTTGACTCTAGGCAGACCACTCTGTCTTTATCCAGTTCCCTCTAGTGGATCAGTGTAGGCCAACTCCTTACATCCCCGAATTTCCCAGTCCCCTTCACAAAACCTCTTCTGTTTGAAGGCACCTTGAGGCTCAAACTCTTCTGTGCTCTGTTACAAATGTGATCAGTCCTTCTGGGAGGAAACGCGGTGCTGTTATGTGGCTAGCTTCTTCCCTTCGGCAGGAGAACCTCGGAGGCAGGGCTCTGGGTGTATGCCCAGCCCCCTGAGCAATGCTGGCATCCTGCTCCTAGAGGACAGACCTCTGGCCTTTGAATCTGGGTGGTGATGGAGAGCCTTTGCTGTGTGGGCTGGGCCTCACTGAGCACAGAAAGCAGCGGTTTGGGTCAGAAACCACAGGCTCCGCCTTCCTTCCTGAACTGTCAACCGATATTCTTGAATTGGTTTTCTTTATTTTTATATCCGGACCACCACCCCAGAGGCTGCAAACGCGTTTGTAATAACCTTCATATCTGTGTCCCAGAAGTTGCTCTTGCTGCCTGCCCAGAAAGCTGGCTTCAGTCTCACCTGTTTTCACAACCTGTCAAGGAGCTTCTCAGGGGAGATAAGTTGAACAGCAATGCTCATGTCACATCTTGTCTAAATCCATGTCTCAAGCTTGTCACAGCCCCAGTGGCTTTGTGCTGCACACAGCAGGTCCACAGTGACACTTGCCCCGGCTGGTGATGCTATTCTAGCATCTGAGACTCCTCAAGAGGAAAATGAGGTTGCCGACAGTTACACAGTAGTCCAAGGAAGGATGGGACGCCTTGGGCCAATTCCGATGCTTTCTGGGGACATGACCTTGGCTCATTCCCTGTCTCATTTAGGTTTAATTATAATACATGAGTAATAACAGTACCTATTGGGTAATATTGTGGACTATACCTAATATATGTTTGTTTGTTGTTGGTTTAATTTTACTTGTTTATTTAAAGAATATTTTTGTTTCTCTGTGTAGCCTTGGCTGTCCTGGACTCACTTTGTAGGTCAGGCTGGTTTTGAACTTACAGAAATCTGCCTGCCTCTGCCTCCCTGAGTGCTGGGATTACAGGGGTGTGCCATTATGCCTGGCTTTAATATATGTTTATTAAATGCCAAATGTTATTTCAGGTGTTGTGCATTTGAGATCAATTACTTTTTATTGCTTTGGCAAAATGCCTAGCAATGAACAACTTAAGAGATTATTTAGATCACGGTTCAAGGGCACAGCCCGTCACGGTGGGGAAGGCATGGTGGCCGCAGAGTGAGGCAGCTGGTCGCACTGCATCTGCAGTCAGGAGGCTGAGAGCGGTGACTGCTCAGGCTGCATTCTCCCCATAGTCAGTCTAGGGTCCTCGCTCACAGAATGGTCACCCACATCTAGTCTGGGTCTTCCTACTATTAGTGTAATCTACAAAGTCCCTCACAGACATGAGGTTTCTGGTTTCCAAGACGATTTTAAGTCCTGTCAGGCTGACAATCGGCATAAACTAGCACACATCACCCTACCCAGTCCCTCAGCCATCCTGCAGAAATAGCTAGAAAATAGCTCTTGTCTGTTGTGCAGAAAGTTAACTGATCTGCTTAAGGCCGGGGCCAGGAAGAGACATTCCAGACTGAAGTCCAGATTGCTCTGCTTTGAGCTTCTTTCTGTCGGGTTCTGTTCCGGGAACTGACACAGAGCTAACTGTGACAGAGATCCGACAGAAATGGATCTGTAGGCTCAGACGTTTGGACCCCTGCGGTTTCCACATGGAGCCACTGATTCATTGCCTTTAGCCCCATCAAATGATACTGACCCTTCCGTGCTGACCTTTCTGATACATGATGCCCCACTGTTAATCCAGACAGATATGCAGCCACACGAGTGTGGGCACATGCATGAATATACACACACAGTGCTTCATGGAAAAATGTATAGACCTACTATGTGATGGCAAAGAAATCTCCCATCCATCTGAATACCATCAGAAACGAAGCCTGAAAGCTTGACAGATGTAACTCCGATTTTCAGGAGTTACCCGACATAACAAGCGAAAGGGGGAGGGGTTTTTTTGTTTTGTTTTTGTTTTTCCTCACAGTTCCAGAGATTTCAGTCCTAGGCTGCTGTGGTTCTGGATGGGACGCAGAACATCACCGTGGCAGAAGCGTTCGGAGGATGACACCAGCGAACATGAATTAGAGAGCAAGGAGAGGACTGGACACTTCTAGACTTTGAAAGGCTCGCCACGGTGACCTACATTTTCTGGCAAGGCTCTGCCTCCACAAGGTTCCATAACCACCAGATGGGGACATTGTTCAAACCGTTAACAGTGGGGCTTATAGACTGTCCCTGCAGAGGGACAGCCCTTATGATCCTATCTCAGAATAGGAAGCCTTGCGTACAGACGGTCATCTTCGCCTCCGGGGACCTCCATCCTTCCCCGAGGTACAGCTGACCTTGGCCACCTGGTTGAAATCCACAATAGTCTTGGGGAGAGCTAAGATGGAGCTGAACTTCCTGGAAGTGTGTGGTTCCACTGGCTTGCCCAGGCTAGACTGCTCAAGACGCCGCCGCATGACGCGCAACCCTGGCGCCTCTCCCACCCAGCTGGCCACTTGCCCAGCTCCAGGCCCCATTCATTCCACAGCTGCTCATGGAACGTAGACCCTGTGGCCCATGTGTGCAGACTCTTAGAATACTGCTGGGTAAGGTGTCATCTCCTCACCTCAGGAAAGGGATAAACAGGAGATGCTAACCAGTGGGAGCAAGTTCCGGAAGGGGCTCGGCATCACCTTGATGAGGAAGGATGTGAAGGTCGAGGAGGAACCGATACGGTGGACTACAGAGAGAAACGCAACCCAGGACCAATGGCTGGAGCAGAGAGGGGGTGGGGACGGTGGGGTTGGAGCGAGGGTGAGCGTGGTAAGAAAGCAGCCCAGCCAGAACAGTAGGTGTTAGGGGTCATCTAGGCTGTAAAAAGAAGCCTTGGAAGAGACTGGTGCAGGAGAACGGCCTGGTGGGATTTATGGTCTCAAGCTTCCTGGGGCAGCTCTGTGGGGCAGCACGAGGCTGTCTTCCACACACAGCAGAGTAACGGAGAAACGGCCAACCTCGACTTTCACCTTAGAGGTGGAATCGCCAGCCTCGTGCACAGAGGGCCACACGGAGCGGGCATGACGCATGCGGGCAGCGGAGAACCCTCCTTCTACTTGTCCTCAGCAGACAACCTGGGGGAACACAGAAGGTGACCCTCCGTGCGGACAGACTGATTTGCGGAAGCAGGAAGAGGGGACAGCTGCTCTTCCCAAGGTCAGGGGAGAACGGAGGCAGGATCTGAAGTATGGGAACTGGATAGGAAGAGAGCAGGAAGTATACGAACTCTCCCCACACCCTAAAGTGAGTAAAACAGACCAGGGGCGTGGCTAAGACACCCTCCGCTGTCCATCAAGTGAAATCCAACACCAGTCTTGTTCAGAGCTGGTAATGAAAACCCTGAAGGCTGACATGCCTGAGTGTCTAGAGAGCTACTGCTGAAAGGGGTCTGGGAGGAGAGAAAGGGAAGATCCAGGGTGGGTAAGCTATGATCGCCTCCATCAGAACTTTCCCTCACACTTCTCAGGCTCCAGGTGAGACCAAGCGTCTCCGCCCTCCTACCTCCGGCTTGGTCATGAGTTATCACCGTGGAGGCTTCTCATCCTCCAGGCATAGTGTAAGAACCCACACAAGGCCCCGGAGCGTCTGGAAAATTGCGGCTGACATCCTTCTCAGAAAGGACAAGTCATTGGCTCCTTGTCACCTGCCGTCGTCCCCAGTTTGTTTGTCTCTGGACTTTGACTGTCTGGAAGATCCCGTCAGTGACACCACTGCTGTCGGGAGCCCCGCGGTGACGGCTCACCTGTGCACGAGGGCGCGGCCAGGCGGGCTCGTCCCCACGCCAGCGTGGGTGGCTGCGGGGCCCCAGGTGTCGTCCGCGGGGGGAGGGGGTCGATGGGGCTGGGCTGCGCCTCGCAGGGACAGTGGCGGAGCACAGCCTCCCCCGCACTCGCCCGCGCCGCGGCAGCGCTCAGCCCCCTCCCCGACGCCCACGCGCTGGTGCCAGCGGCCGCGGTGAGGACCGAGGGCGGCCAGGGGCCCGCGTCCGCGCCCCAGGTCTGCGTGCGCGCGGGCGAGAGCGCGCCGCCCGGCCGGCGACCCG